AAAAAAAACTAATATACAAGTTTTTCTTGAGTGAAAAATTCAAACCACACAAAATGAACAGAACTATTACATCAGGGGTGCTTCTTGGGTAGTGTATAGAGCCAGATAGAAGAATTTTCCTCTGCCCATTAATGATAATGGCCTTCTTATCATAAGTGACACTACACTTGATCACCTGAGAGCCCATCACCATGAAAATGCAGAAAAATAAAATTAAACTGGAAAGTGAGTTACTTTCCATTTTTTTTTTTCCCTTTCACCCCTCTCTGGCTCTCTCTCTCTCTCTCTCTCTCTCTCTCTCTCTCTCTCTCCCTCTCCCTCTCTCTCTCTCTCTCTCTCTGTCTCTGTGTGCAAAATTTGTGAGGAAAATGTAATAAAAATGCAATCTTTGGAGAACCCTTTAAAGAAATTATGAACTACAAAATGTGGAGTGAAAAATTATGTGAAGCGGTGAGATTTGGATTGTTGGTGGGGAAGGAAAGGAGTGTGAAGAAGCACACTAACAGTTAAGATAAATAAATGCAGATAATGACGGCCAACAAATTATAGAGTTTGTTGGGTTGGTTTCTTGTTTGCAAGTGACTGTGTTTTGGCTATTATATGTACACTAGAGCAGTGGAAGTTCCAGAAATGGGAAGTGAGGTTTCAAAAATTTTTGAAAAAAAAAAAAGGAATCTTTGAAATGTTACGGTATGTTATGGAACTATTCCGTCAGGATTTGTAACCGTTGGATCAACTATTCCCGACAGTTATATGATGATGTAACGGTTATAAACCCAAGAAATGGTTGACGGTAGCATTTTTCTCTTTATTTATTTCATGAATTATTTATTTGTAGGATTTGAAGTTTGAAAGCAACTCCTCTAAGGTTGCTTTAAATGTTAGCGGTGAGGGAAAAAAAATAAAAATAAAAATAAAAAGGGTCTTCAATTTTTTAAAAAAATGATGCAATTTTGTAGACTGACAGTTTTCAAATGCTTAGATTTTGTTAAGAAAAAGAAAATATTAAACCCTTGTTAAACCCTTTGAACACTAAATAAGTGGATCAAACTTGACGGAGTTTTATGTAAATATATGCTTTTCTTATTATTTTTTTTTCTTATGCTAAATAAGTGGATCAAACTAGTTTTATATAGAAATAGATTCGAAAAAATATTTATATTATATTGACATTTTTTTATGTTTTTAAATTATTGAATATTAAAAAAAAATCTTTTTTTTTTTAAAAAAAATAAATTATGTAAATATAAGTTTTTCTTTTTATTTCATATATTTTTAATTCTGGAATCCGTCTCTGTATAAATTAAGAATTTTCATAGTGTTCGGAAAAATCTCATGTTTATAAATTTTGGTGCTTCGAAATTGTTTGTGAAAATTGGAATTCATCCATATAAACTAAAAAAAAAAAAAAATTATAAGAATATTTTAAAATTTATTAATTTTTTAGTACAATTTTTTTTCCAGGTATGATATGTTAAATTAATCATTCTTTACCAAATCAAATGTTATATATAAGATAAACTAAGAAAAATATTCATACATGTAGACTGTAGTTAGATTATTTAAACCTTTATTGTAATTGTAGCTTTCTTAATTGTTAGCTATGTTTGGTAAAACTAACTGATAAGCTAGCTGATAGTTTATCAGTAATTTTTTAGCTTATAACTTATAGCTTATGACTTATAGTTGAAAAACTAGCTTATATAATAAAAATGTTTGGTAAAATTAGCTGATAAGCTAGCTGAAATAAAAAATTCAACTAGCTTATTTAAAAAACTACATAAGGAATCTTATCAAATAAGCTCGAGCTTTTTAAAAAAGTTCGTCCTATCAAACGAGACTTATTTGAATAAAGGGAGCTTAAAGCTAACCAAATAAATTATAAAATAGTTTATTTGTCTATCAAACATAGCCTAAATGTATTAGCTCATTGAAAGCGAATTTTTTTCAGAGAAATTGTTTCGGTGGGAATTCTTCTTTAGGTAATATGACAGTTCAACATAACTTATTCATTTATGGATCTTGAAACATGGGAAAGAGAGTCCAATATCATTTTAAATATGATTTCAAATTTCGTAAGTAAATATTAAATAATGAAATGCAGATAGTCCATTATATATCATGCTCCCAAACTTGTTATACGACTACTATAGAACAATATAAAGAAAGAAAACATAGACTAACATCAGCAAACTTCAAGAATTGAAGAATTTGTATGACGGCCTGTGCGAGCGTTCTCTTATTACTCTATTGTAGGCGTATAAGAGAGTTGGAAGCATGATACATAATTGAAACTGTGGCACGTGACATCATTGGCGTAATTGATGTTATTGTTTTGATTAGATGGTCAACATTTAAAATGTATTGAAGCGTAAATCAGTGACGAGGATTCTTAGGGCTAAATTGTTGTTCCCATCATGGTTCATACGAAAACGAAACAACGGTTGATGATGAGTTGTGTCCGACAATAAAAACCACAATGAGACGATTCTCCCAAATATTGGGCGCATGTTTTTCAAGTTCGTGATTCCTTTTCAAAATGATTAAATATTATTGTTATATCTGTTTCATCGAATTGGCCCAAACGAAATATTGTATACACTATTTTTCCCTTTTAAGATTAAATTCAATATATGAAAAGTTCAAACTTTGATTAGCAATTTCCTTAGAAGAAAACCTCAAGTCAAGTAAGTAAATTATAAATTGGTTTTGAACTGAATCCAAACAGAAGGCAACTTCGTTTGAGTGTGTTATCTCAGTATTGAACCTTTCTCAACCAATAAATTATATGTGTGACCAGTAACTCTCCTCCTGCCGGCTGACGGCAGTACCTTCTTCCCGACCATGTTCGGGCCCGAAGTTGGCTATCTTACCCGCCCCATCTACAGCGTGCGCGAGGGTTATGGTGGGTAGAGTTCCTCGCCTCGCCAACTCTCACTACGACAAAGGTAAAGGTCGCCGTCCTGCAGTGTTCACCCCTAGCCTCGGTGCGGTGATGTAGAGCGTAGTACGAACGGGAATAAGATGAGATACTCTCTCAAGAAAGAACACACACAGAAATTTCAATTCATAATAATCTGCTTTCATTCATCGTAGTTCTCCAATAAATAATAAGAGAAAGAGTCTTATTCTAGTATCTTGCCTAACATATTGCAAGATATTTATTTCAATTACCTAAAATAAAAGGAAATAACATAATAAGCAAATTAATAATAAATGACTTAAACTCGAAGCCTGCCGTATTTATTTAAAAAGGCGATCGCGGTCTCGTCTCCATCAGGCGGTCTGCTGGAGTCTTTTGGTTTTCCATTCATCAGTTTTGTATCATATTGTAGAGGCTCCCGATCAGCCTCGAGTTGCTTTGGGCTATCCTCTCCAGGGACTTGTGGGCTCCTCCTGCGTGGCACGTCGGGCTCCTCAGGCATGACTCCTCTAGTGCTGCATGTCTTTCTGGCGGCTCTCCTCCGGCGTTAAAGATCGATGGATCCTAGATATAGACTGAGAATCGCCTTCTTGCCAAGTTTGACCGCAGTTTTTGAGTTCGGAGTCTAGGTTTGCAGCTCAGTTAGGATCTGTGTTGTGGGTGGTGGCTCGTGTGTCAAGGTGGTTGGTAGTGCGTGCGGTTTGTATGATACGTTTAAGAGAGGTTTTACTGTATATGTTTGTTTGGTGTGATGTTTTTGTTGTTCCTTTAGTATTCGTTTTGTTTAGTCCAGTTGTGTCTGACTCATAGTCTCCTTTATGAAGTTTTGGTCTCTTTTATGGAGTTTATGTTTTGCAGGTGTTTGTGTCCCATTAATGGAGTTTGTACCCTTTGGTCACCTGGGTGGTTATAAAGGGATTGGTCTAAACTTTATTTTGATTATATCAGTAGCATCAGTTAACACATCAACTGTACTCTTTTTGAGTTTTAAGTTATTAATATAATTATAATTTGAAAAAAAAAATCTTTTCCAACCAAGTAAAGCTTTGAATTGTGTGGAAACTAAAGAAATTAATAAAACGATAAAATTGAGAATGCGTTCCATAAATGTGTCTTCTTTTCTTATCGCTTCAGATCACAGAGATCTATAAACAGATAAATGTTGGAGGTACATAATA